CACTCTATATGTAATAATTAGAAGTCACCAGATGGAACTATTATAGATAGTCTTATAAACTCTGTTTAACTAAATGTTGTGCAATTAGATCTTAGCAAAAATGCTAGTTGATTATAATGCAGTTCTCTTTAGAATCTCAGCATATCACTAGTAAAATGGGTTTACTCTGAAAAAAATTCTTAGGTGCCAACCCACTGCTTACAGGATATACCCACCAACCCGCTCACATACACAAAACACCATGCATAATACATGGTATCTAAAATATTACACCAGGCTAAAATAATTAAATATTTATCTTCCTTCTTAAATCAGTCCTGCCAAGCCTTTAATTATTCTCATATTCTCCAAATTCCTTCCAATTTGTTCATATCTGTCAATGGTTTATAGCCAGAACAATTCTGTATGCAGTACTCTGAGGGGCTTAAAATAGAAGTGCCTCCTGAACCAGAACTATATCATAACTACAAAATCACATTAGAAAAGATGCACTTTAAATCCTTCAGCTGACTGTGCAGGTGGACCTTTGCATATGTACAGAGCTCCAATAAGTTCAGGGGAGTTCCACATAAATGCAGGAGTTTCCCATACAAAGTCAGTTACAGAGGCAAATCAAAGACAACAATATTAATGCTTTATGCATTTAAGTTTGTTATTTAAATGCCCATACTTTTAACTACTATCCATCAAATTAGTTCTAGAATTAGTCTCAGAAAACTTACACTTTTTTACAAAGTTGCCTACATGTTTAATTTTCATTAAAGCAGGATTGCTGCATTCTTCAAAAAGAACGAATAGGGAATCAAGGATGCCTTCCCGGGAGAGAGGAGACATCTGCTGTTGAGTCACAAAGGGTGGCTTCCCCTGAAAAAAAAGCAACAGCAGATGGAGTCTCAGACAATAATGAAAAGCCTCAAATCAATAACATATGTATAGGAACAGATTATATATTATCCAGAACCAAAAAAAAATCACTGCTTCAGAAATTAAACAAATAATATTTTAGAGGTTTGTTTTAAATACATCAGATAGTGATTAGTGATGTACACAACTATTACAAATGTTTTACTTTTTTCCTTGAAGAAAACTCAAAAAAGGCAGCTAAAAGGCCAAATCACATCATTCGTGTTCTTTTTCTAGGTCCTTACAATGCTTCTGATTTAAGTTGTCCTATTTTTATACTGGCCATGAATTTTGCCATGTGCTTCAGGAATATCTAGGCCAGCAGTTCTCAAACTGTGGGTCGAGACCCCAAAGTGGGTCGCGACCTCATTTTAATGGGGTCGCCAGTGCTGGTTAAACTTGCTGAGGCCTGGGGCTGAGCCCAAGCCCCACCATCCGGGGCTGAAGCCAAAGCCCAAGGGCTTCAGTCCTGGGTGGCGGGGCTCAGGTTACCGGCCCCCTGCCTTGGGCTTTGTCCTCCCCTCCCCGGGAGGTGGGGCTTGGATGGGCTCAGGCTTCAGTCCCCCTCCTGGGGTCGTGAAGTAATTTTTGTTGTCAGAAGTGGGTCACAGTGCAATGAAGTTTGAGAACCCCTGATCTAGGCAATCACCATAGCAACTCTTACTTGAAGTAAAAGGCTGTTTAAATCCTAGACACTAATTGAAAAAAAGATGCTTGAAGTGCAGCTAGTTAGTCAAATGATGCTTATGACTACCCTCATCTTCAAGTGCAAGTGAGAAGCCTGCAAAGACTACAGGTCCCAGCATGCAATGTTCCATCTTCATCTCAGAAGAATCCACTTAGCATCAGATGCTCCATCTTAATCTGAAATGTATAATATGTGAGCAACAGCTCCATATTAAAAGATGGTCAGCAGCAATCATCTATACTTTATGCAAATTAGGTGCAGACTTTGAACTTCTAGTAAGAAGCCTCTCTATCATCCTCCAAAAAATCAGTTGGGCAAAGGTTGGTAGCCCACACAACACAAGACATTTTTATACAGCGAACATAGATGCAAACAAGATGCAGTTCATCAGGTCTGATGCCCGCTTCCCTATACCTGAAAGAGCAGGTTCAGCCGAGAAGCACGGCTAGCTATGGGCTCCATGGAAGCTGGCTCCGTCGGACTCCGCACAGCATATTTAAACTTCAACATCTTCACAGTTTACCCCAGAAATATACATCCTAAAAAGAAAGTTGGAAGGGCTGTCAAGTGGAGATATTTTGAATAGGAGGAAGTTTTAAAAGAAATCTTGGATAATTTAAGCCAAAAAATTTTTTTGGAGAAACAAATATTAAAAACTAATTAGGGAAAAAGACTCCATGAAGTCCACTAGGGACCTCATTATTGCTAATATATTTCATGTGGAAGGCTCCGAGCTACGGGTAACAGCACAGAGCCCTACATAGGGCAGGGTGAATATTTGTTTTTTCAGTTCAGTGGGGTGACCTGAACCAATAATATTTTGTTTTTTTCTTGTCTACATAAAAAACTGAAAAAGTTTCATTTCAGGTTGGACCCAAAACTAAACCTTTTTTGCGGGAAGGGAAGCTAATTAAATCTAGCTAAATGTATAAACGAAATGTCATTTTAAAAAAAACAAAATGTCTCATTTCCAAAGTGTCAAAAAAGAAATGTTTCAACTTTTTTGGAAATTATTCCGTCATTTTTGACTGAAACTATTTGCTAAATTTGACCTGAATTCGTGAACAGGTTCAGTCAATCCAGAATTGCATTTTTTGGTGAATAAACTATTTGCCAAAACAAATTCACCCAGCACTAACACCAGGATGCATAAGGTCAACAGAAATGTTTGTGATTTTATCAAGTTTCAGTTAAAATAATTTGTTGTTAATCCACCTCCCCACAGAGGTTTAGTCGACCTAACTACATCACACAGGGTGCAAAATTTTTCACAACCCTGAGCGATGTAACTAGGTCGATCTAATTTTTAGGCATGGACCATGCCTCATATGCTTTAGAGGAGAAATAGCAAACAAGATCCTACAAAGTGCTGCCAAACATGCAAGATAAAGACATTGAGAATTGAGATAAAGACACTGAGACATCAAATTGGCCCTGTCAACACTGGTTCTTCACTTGTGAGGTACTCCCTTCTCTTCATGTGTCATTATATAATGCCTGCATATGTAACTTTCACTCCATGCATCTGAAGAAGTGAGGTTTTTTTAACCCACGAAAGCTTATGCCCAAATAAATCTGTTAAGTCTTTAAGGTGCCACCGGACTCCTTGTTGTTTCTGTGGATACAGACTAACACAGCTACCCCCTAATAATTGAGAAAAGAGAATCCCTCTCAGACACAGTTAATCTAAAGGTTACTTGTAACTATAGGAAGAACTATGGATTCATACACAAGCAGGATCTGTAAACTCACACCGTAACTTTAATCACGAGGGGAGATTTTCAAAGCTGTTTAGGAAAGTTAGATGCACAACTCCCACTAAACTTATGGGAACTGTGGATCTAAATCCTTGAGACAGCTTAGAAAGTCTCACCTCACAGCAGTGACAGAGGCAATGAAACTTGTTGGTTAACAGTACAGTAGAACCCCAGAGTTACGAACACCTGGGGAATGGAGGTTGTTCGTAACTCTGAAATGTTCATAACTCTGGACAAAAAGTTATGGCTATTCTTTCAAAAGTTTACAGCTGCCAACATTGACGTAATACAGCTTTGAAACTTTATTATTCAAGAGAAAAATGCTGCTTTAACTTTTTTTGGTGGTTTACATTTAACACAGTACTCTACTGTATTTGGTTTTTTTCCTTTTGTCTCTGCTGCTGCCTCATTGTATACTTCCAGTTCCAAATGAGGTCTGTGGTTGACTGGTCAGTTGTAACTCTAATGCTCTAATAAATTTGTTAGTCTCTAAGGTGCCACAAGTACTCCTGCTCTTCTTTTTGCGGATACAGACTAACACGGCTGCTACTCTGAAAGTTGTAACTCTGGTGTTCGTAACATTGAGGTTCTACTGTACCTGCTTTATAACCAGGCAGGGGGCCTGTCAGCTAGCCTAGTGCACTCAACTCATAGGGAAAAGACACCTCACTGCAACATTTCATAACCAAATGGTTTAAGGGCCATTCATCCCACCTAGGAAGGAGAGCCCTAGTATAGCTGTCACCACCAAGCGTTCTGCTCCCAAAGGACAGGCTGAGAGCTGCCCCCACCCAAGCGATGCCTCAATGTGGGGGGGGGGAGGAGAGGGAGCTGGCAACTCCCTGCCTGAAGGGACGGGCAGGCCCCCAATGAGAGGAGAATAAGGGGGCTTGACCCCCTCCCTCCAAGAGAGGGGACTTAAGGGGCCTATGGGGCTCGACCATCCCCGCAGGAAGAGCCCAGCTCCCAGGAAGACCCCAATGCCTAATGAGATAGGAACTGGGAGGGCTTGACACCCCCATCTCTCCAAGGAAAGAGAGGGGATTGGGGGTAGGCTGACCCCTCCCTGCAGAGAGAGCTCAGCTCCCTCCAAGGGAAAGGATGGGGGCTCAACCCCAAGTCCCTAACAAGAGCTGGGGAAGGGGCTCCCTCCCTCCCGAAAGACCCCCAACCGCTAACGAGAGGAGACTAGTTGGAGGGGGGGGGCTGAGCCCCTCCCCCAATGACGGGAAACGGGAGGGTTCCCTAGGTCCAGGGGGAGCCCAGGAAAGTCGGCGGGGAAGAAAGAGTCCCCTCGCTCCACGGAGGGGCCGGGCTCCCCTACAAACAGACACACAAAGCAGCTCTCCGAGACCTCGTACGTTCCCAGCCGCCCCCACGCCCAGGGCCTTTCTACCCACCGCCGCTCTGCTTTGCCGCCATCCAGGTTTGAACGGAGCAGGGGGTAGTGGCCCCCTCACCATCATTTCCGGTGACGCGAGGCAGACGTCAGCCTTAGCCAATCCCCCAATGTTCCTGCTGGTGACGTTAACGCTCCGCCCAGAGCACGTTCGTGCGTCAACCCAGCCCCTCCCCGGCGGAAAATCGTTGTGGGAGGAGTCAGTCAGTCAGCTCTGAGGCCGGTGCTCGCGCGCGGGGGGGGGGGGGGGGGATTGTTACCGGTTCTACCCGTCGCTTTTCCCTCTCCCCCCCCCCCCCCGAGGGAAAGCGAGACTGGGCTTTCCTGGAGGCTGAGGCTGGTCTCGGTCTCGCCAGAAGAGGCAGCCCGCGTACAGCGCCTCGCCCTGCCACTCACCCCACCGTCTGAGGCCTGCCTGGGCCCACAATGTAGGCAAGAGGGGGTAGCACTGAGAATAGGCCTCCCAGGGAGGGTGGCGCATAGACGAATAGGGTGACCAGACAGCAAGTATGAAAAATCGGGACGGGGGTGGGGGGTAATAGGAGCCTATATAAAAAAAAAGACCCCAAAATCGGGACTGTCCCTATAAAATGGGGACATCTGGTCATCCTATAGACGAAATGCCGGGGGGGGGGGGGGAGGGAGGGTACGTGGTAGCACACCCCGGCAACGTGGCGTGAGCCTCATGCAAAAATCAAGTATCAGGGGGTAGCCGTGTTAGTCTGTAGCTACAAAAACAACAAGGAGTCTGGTGGCACCTTAAAGACTAACAGATTTATTTGGGCATAAGCTTTCGTGGGTAAAAACCCCCACTTCTTCAGATGCATGGAGTGAAAGTTACAGAGGCAGGCATTATCATGCAAAAATGTCACTGGCTCGATGGCGTGGAAATGCTGCAGTGCAGCGTGGGCCCTCCCAAGCATCACCGGGGTGCTCTGCCCAGGGCGCCAGCCGCCTGTGAAGAGGTTGCTGCACGGCCATGGGAGCTGGGGGAGGGGTGTGAAGCAGTGAGGCTGCCCTGCCAAAGTGACAGGACACTTCGAAAATGTCCACGGGTTTATTATGCGATATGAGGGGGTTACTGGTCCAGTAGCTTCAGGGCAGGATGCAATGTGGTGACATTCCTTAAAAACAATCTGGGCTTGATAACTGGGTGAGTTGACTGGTGAAATTCTGTCAGTTGACCACCTATTAGTTAACCATAGTCAAATATTCCCACAATTATGCCTTGATGGAGGCAGCAGACTGCCTTTTTGATTGAATCATGGTACCGTTCCATCCTTTTTACAACTTGTTTCACAATTTCTGAATTAAAATAACTCAGTTAAGTAACTTGTTTATTGTAATTAGGCCTAAGTATCTGTCTATAGCTAAGACTAAGCCTGTTGGAGATCATAAAGTCTTTCTCTTTTATTACTAGTGCAATAAATTAATGCTTTAAAAAAGAGGATTATTTTGACATTATTTAACTGGTCAATTGGCCAGTCATCAGATCGTTCAGCTGCCCAACCCTAAAATAATCACATTGCAGTGTAGAGTCTCACAAAGCAACTTGTTACTGTCTTACCATCCATCAATCATTGCAGTTATGGTAACATCATCTTGGTATCAAGCCAGCAAAATATGGGGCTAATGGTTTTTTGCATGAGTATGTGCAAGTCACTTTACCTTTACATACGTCCATCTCTCTTTTTGTAAGATAGGTATCATCCCTATCTACCTCAGGATGATGTGGGGCTAATTTTTTGTAAATCACTTTGACTTCCCTAGATTAAGGGGTCTATATAAATACTAAGATCTATCCTTAACAGAAAAATTGCTCTATCATATTTTATTATGAATTTTATATAGTTCCTCTAGTGATTTACTCCCCTCCTCCCCCCAGGGAGACTTAGGAGGACACCGTTAAGATAATCATACCACAAATATTATAATTCTATATCTGGGTTCACTTCAAGATACTAAAACTGAAAGTTTTAAAATCTAATTTACTTTCCACCATTTTCACTTCTGATTTATTTGTATTTCACTCAGTTTGAACAATGATCCTAAACTGGTCAGTTCTACTTTCCAGATCTCATGCATTACCATACTGTTGTGGTTTTTGTATGCATAACCCTATAAGGGAATATTTAAATCTCAAAAATCTGTTTATTGAAATTGTTGTAGACAGCTCTTGCACACTCAAAAGCTACCTGTAAAGAAAATGTGTTTCAGGGCAAAAACTAAAAATAACTGACAGCCAGCATTGTTTAATTTAAAGGGACAATATAAAGTTAAATCTTATTATGCTTATAGCTGCATGTTCCTATATTTGTGTAACCCTTATGGCCAGAAGCTTCAGAGGGGAAAAAGTGCTGCCACAGAGAGCTCTATTTGCATAGGCTACCTAGTCACAGTTTCTCTAGTGACACTTGGAAAGTCACCATCCCTGTATGAAGTTGGATTTGGGCTTGGGGACCTCATTGCTCCAGAGAGGCTATGGGGCTTCCAGAGAGGCTATGGTGACCTCATTGCTCTGAACTTACTTCCAAGCAATCAGGATTCTCTGTCCAAGGGTCTTAAGTGTTCTCAGTTCCCTCCCAAGGGGACTTTGCTGTGAGAGACAGTGCAGAGAACAGCATCAAAGCTGAGGGGATTCTGGTGAGGCACCTTTCTATGCAGGACTTTTAATAAAGCTGAATGACTAAAATGGGTCAGGAGGTAGGTCTAGTCCTTAAAGTGGAGGTCACAGACCTAGCAAAAATCTCTGTCTATATAGATCAGATTGGGTAGTTGAGTGATGCACTTTAAGCATGGTCTTATCAAAGCTGCTGCTCCCATGTTATGATAGATCTCCCCAGCTCTCGCTTGGGGGTGCGGGGAGAGAGAGAGAGAACAAAACCCCACACAGACCACTTTAATCACTGGTGGTCCTCCAGGCTGGACCAGATAAGACTCCTTAGGACTGGAGACAGACCTGCAAAGAGATGCTGGGATTACAACTTGTTACTGATCCAAACTGACTAGTGGTTTGGTGGATGGCTGAGTGGTACAGCCAAGGGACTGTTACCCCTCACAGATTCTCACCAGCAGGTAGGAAGGAATTAGAGGCATTGTTGACAAACTTATTAGAAAGAGGATGACTTTACTTGCACATACACACACACATATATATTATATATATGGGCGGTGAAACGATAAAAAAATAATCATGATTAATTGCTCTGTTAATAGAATACCATTTATTTAAATATGTTTGGATGTTTTCTACATTTTCAAATATATTGATTTCCATTATAACAATACAAAGTGTACAGTGCTCAGTTTATTTGTGATTTTTTTTTTTACAGTGTAAATACTTGTATTAGGTGAATTGAAAAATACTGTTTACAAGTACTATAGTACAATCTCTTTATCATGAAAGTTGAACTTACAAATGTAGAATTATGTACAAAAATAACTGCATTCAAAAATAAAACAATGTAAAATTTTAGAGCCTGGAAGTCCACTCAGTCCTACTTCTTGCTCAGCCAATCGCTCAGACAAACAAGTTGGTTTACATTTGCAGGAGATAATGCTGTCCTTGTTTCTTGTTTACAATGTCAGCCGAAAGTGAGAACAGGCATTCTCATGGCACTGTTGTAGCCAGTGTCACAAGATATTGACATGCCAGATGCACTAAAGATTCATATGTCCCTTCATGCTTCAACCACCATTGCACAAGACATGCAGCCATGCTGATGATGGGTTCTACTCAATAACACTCCAAAGCAGTGAGGAACGACGCACGATCATTTTCATCATCTGAGTCAGATGCCATCAGTAGAAGGTTGATTTCTTTTTTGGTGGTTCAGGTTATGTAGTTTCCGCATCAGTGTGTTGCTCTTTTAAGACTTCTGAAAGCATGCTCCACACCTCATCCCTCTCAGATTTTGGAAGGCACTTCAGATTCTTAAATCTTGGGTCAAGTGCTGTAGCTATCTTTAGATCTGTCACGTTGGTACCTTCTTTGCGGTTTGTCAAATCTGCAGTAAAAGTAGTCTTAAAATGAACAACGTGCTGGGTCATCATCTGAGGCTGCTATAAAATGAAATATATGGCAGAATGCGGGTAAAACAGAGCAGGGGACATCCAATTCTCCCCAAGGAGTTCAGTCACAAATTTAATTAATGCATTTTTTTAATGAGCATCATCAGCATGGAAGCATGTCCTCTGGAATGGTGGCTGAAGCATGAAGGGGCATGCGAATGTTTAGCATATCTGGCACATAAATACCTTGCAATGTCAGCTATAAAAGTGCCAGGCAAATGCTTGTTTTCACTTTCTGATTACGTAAATAAGAAGAGGGCAGCATTATCTCCTGTAAATGTAAACAAACTTGTTTGTCTTATGGATTGGCTGAACAAGAAGTAGGACTGAGCGGACTTGCAGGCTCTAAAGTTTTACTTTTTTCTGTTACATAACTGCCCTCAAAACAAAACAATCTAAATTTGTAAGTTGCACTTTCACAACAAAGATTGCACTACAGTACTTGTATGAGGTAAATTGAAAAATACTATTTTATCATTTTTACAGTGCAAATATTTGTAATAAAAATACACATTTTTTATTCTGTGTTGTAATTGAAATCAATATATGAAAATATAGAAAAACATCCAAAATATTTAATAAATTTCAATTGGTATTCTATTTAACAGTGAGATTGAAACTGCGATTAAGCGTGATTAATTTTTTTTTAGTTAATCACGTGAGTTAGCTGCAATTAATATTATATATATTCTGTTGCTGTGTTTTCCAAGTTTATGATTGTATTCCCTTTCCCTAATAAAGATTTCCATTATTTGTACATGGTCTTGCAGTGCTTGCACATGGGGAAGTTATTCCTATTAAGGGCACGCAGCGCAGGCGTATTTAGTTTTCCCAGGGTTCTGAACTGGTTTCATTATTTCAAGAGGGACCATAGATGTACTGAACCTGGCCCTTTTTGCTGCCATTAGCCACCTGGAAGTAGTGTTACATTTGTAGTTTTTTCCCCTGCTGCCTTGCTCTGTGAAAGACCCAAACAAACAAGAGACAAACAAGTACAGGAGAAACTGACAAATGAAACTGATAATACACACACTGCTATCAAATGCACCAAGAAACTGAAAAATTGAGAAAAACATTTCTTTATTCTCTTTGTTATAGTAGGTAAGAAGCTTCAGACTAAAGTGTGCTTTTTTTTTGTTATTTAAGTTGGTATCACTGTAAATTCTGAGAGCTAAAGGGTTGATTCCTTCATACTTCTACAATGTTTTAAATTACGTTTCAAAGGCAGCCATAGTAGACTGATTCCTTCCCTTCTTAAGAGCCAGATTGGTGAATGCTTACTAATGTGTGACTAGTCTCATTCAATTTAAAGGCTCACCAGCAGAACCCCTGCACGTATACAGAACAAAATACTCATTCCCTACTATTAAATTAATTAAGAGGTCAACCAAAGACTTAACAGAATAAATAGCTCTTAGTTTTTCTTCTGCACCAGATCCTGATATGCAGCTTCACTTGTTTGACATCTCACCATGCACTGGATTGATTACCATCTGTTTAGCACTTCTTGTTATAAGAGTAGAGGTTTTCCTTGGCCAACATTTTCCTTCCTCATGCTGTTAGGTAATGGGCTGAGATGGCTGCATTCCAAATGTTCTATGTGCCTATAACTGTGGTGCACTTCAGGATCTTTTAGAATGTAGAGTACTAAGTAAATATAAATTAATGATAGTTTCACTAAAGTTCAGCAGTAAAAAATAACTGCTTATGTGTAAAATGTAAATTACCATACATTCTGAGAATACTGAATGGATTTCTAATACTGAATGGATTTTTAATTTTTACTCTTCGTTTGTATGCTATGAAGGGCCCTTACAACTCTGCTCAATATGTATTGTAATCAGTGGGTTGGTGTGTACATGCATCTTTGCATTCTACATGGAATCTGAATTGTGATGTAAGCCCTATACAGCTTAAAACTATAGGATATTTTCCTTTGTGGATCAGGTAGTGGGTGCTAGTGCTTTTAATAATAAATAAATAATTAGCTCTTACATAGTTTTAGAACAGGCACTCCAACTGCACTGTTATTAATTTTTGAATGGCCATGATGTACTCTGTATAGTCACACGTCTGAAATCCTAGGTAACCGCAGATTTATTACAATGTAAAGTCTGACTTATATGTAAGGAGATATCGATCGGTAACAGTGCACCTATCCAATGCATCTAAGAAGCTGATGACATGTCAACAGCTTTGAAGACTGGTAAAGGCTGGATGGAAGATTAATTCAATATAAACATTTGCAGAATTGCCCACTGGTAATATCTATTTGGCCGTCTGGCTATTTATAGTAAGGTTGTGCAGATTTTTCTTTAAAACATTTGTTCACCTTTAAAAAGGATTCAACTATTCAGTTTTGCCTGAGTAAAGACCCATGACTGCATAAATGAGCTGTTATAATTGTGGTTATACTGTAAGCTTCATCCTTTGGATAAAAGAGAGATTACTTTAAAAGTAAAGCGTACTATAGGGCATGCTCAAATTCACAACTTCTGCATTGCTTCCCCATGCAGCAATGTATATGTCGAAATGCTGTGGGTGAAATTCTGGTCTTGTTGGAGTCAATGGCAAAACTCCAATGGACTTCAGTGGAGTCAGGTTTTCATCCTGTATTTATTTACACACTAGGCCACTGAAGTCTATTACATAAATAATGCATGTTTTAAAGATTGCTTGGGTTCTCATACTTCCATAAGAATTTTCTCTTTTTAAAAAGAATCTAAAATACAGATCACACACATAGTATTAAAGTAATATATCAAATATACAAACTCAAGAAATACAGGGACAACTAAAATGCCATCCATATTAGCTATTTATAGATCATTAGTGCACAAAGGGTTTTTCATATAAGATAGGCGCAGTCCCTGTCCTGAGGAACTTACAGTCTAGGTAGGATAAGACACAGGATGACAAGAGGCAAGGATGTGAAAAAGAAGGGGGATTTACACTGTAGGAGGTTGTGAGGCTTTAAAACAAAGCACACAGACAGACCCTCTATATGTCATCTCAGTTCTTGTAAGAGTGTGGTGGCCTCTTTAAGGGGATGTGCTGTTGTGCAGGGTACTACTAGCTCTCAGCTCTTTAAGGAAAGGAAAATTTTGGGAGCTGTACTCCCGGGGGGACAAGGATTATAACCAAAGCAACTATAAGAGCGGCCTCTGCTCAGTGTCAAAGATATTTGGACAGAGGACTAGCTAAAAGGCACCAGGCAAGAAGAACAGCCAGGAGAAACATTCAGGGAGTAGGAGGAACTGGCGTCTCCACCTTTGGATCCCTGGCTTCATTTTGTAAGGCCATGTAGGAAATGGCCCGTGTAAAAGTTAAGCAAGGTTTGAGTGAAGGAGACACGCTTGTTCACAATTCAGGATATCCAAGCTGTAATCTGGAGTTGAGGAAGAGGCCTGTTCTATTACCCCTCAGCAGCGGGGCAAGCTGGTACTCTCTAGTAGAAGGGGAAAAGGGATAAACAGACTACCGACTGAGCCTGACATGAGACAGAGAAATATAGAGCCCACACAGGACTGGTGAGAGATTACTTTGTCTTCGTTTTGTATGGACTTGTTTTATTGACCAGAGAATAAAAAGGGTGTACATAGGTTTAGTTGGAAGGTTATACAAAGCTGATAATATCCCACCTTAATTGAATAGTCTCATTATAGTTGGTATGGCAACACCCATTTTTTCATGTTCTCTGTTTATATATATCTTCCTACTGTATTTTCCACTGCATGCATCCGATGAAGTGGGTTTTAGCCCATGAAAGCTTATGCCCAAATACATTTGTTAGTCTCTAAAGGGTACATCTACACTACCCGCCAGATAGGGATCGATCTATCGGGGATCGATGTATTGCGTCTCATCTAGACACGATACATCGATCCCCGAACGCGCTCCCCGTCGACTCCGGAACTCCACCAGGGCGAGAGGCGGAAATGGAGTTGACGGGGGAGCGGCGGCCATCGATCCCGCACCGTGAGGACGCAAAGTAAGTCGATCTAAGATACGTTGACTTCAGCTACGCTATTCTCGTAGCTGAAGTTGCGTATCTTAGATCGATCCCCCCCAGTGTAGACCAGGCCTAAGGTGCCACAAGTACTCCTCGTTCTTTTCACAAAGCCATCCCTTCACCAGAGGGAGATGGTGGGCCAACAAGAGATACAGCCACAGTTATAAACTAAGGCATCACCACCAGAGAAGTAAGAACCCCATTACAGCATTTTGGGGGGGGGAGGGAAAAGGGGGGGAAGAGAAGAGGTATTTACTGTGGTAAGTGAAGGCCCTGATAAAGGCCCAGTATGAGGCCTGAACCAAACTAAAGTAATGGTCAAGACTTTGCTAACATAAAGCAAAGTTAAGCTGTGAGCCAGAGGCAGGCCCTGCCACAGAAGCAGGCAAGGAAAGGGCTGATGTTGCATAAATATATATTCACCTAGCAAAGTTAAAGTATAAACATGGTACCAAGACATACCATATGGGAACATTCCACAGATAACATGGAACAGGCCGACCCATCCCAATGACAGGGGCAAAAGGATAAAATGATTAATAGAGTTGTTTTGATCGAACCAACATGTACAAGGTGAGAGGCGGCACCTTACTACGTAGAGGGGTTGCACCTCAATACGTCAGGAGTGATGTGTAACTTGTTTGTACCTGTGTATAAGAATGTATCCCTGGGGTGGTGTCTTTGTCCAGCCGAGGGGGCAGTGGAAAGTCCCGCCACTGACTTGAGCTGAGTCCATTGCCGAGCGGCACTTTCTAGCAGTATGCCCGGTAGACTAAGTAATCTACGGGGAACTGAAATTGTGTCAGGGTTGCAATAAACCTGGCCGAGGTGCCTTCATACCTTACTAGACTCTGTGGTTATTGGGGGTTCTCGTCAGGTTTGCTGTGTCAGCTATCTGCGCAGAAGCTGGGGCAGCACACAGAGGGAACACACGCACGCAGCCGAGTGATATCAACAGGAGAAAGCAGAAGCACCACACCAGTAGCATCTGACAACATTTACATTTTTTTGTCAAGCTGGCTCATGTGGGAATCAGTGTGGGGAAAAAAAACAAAAGTGATTTCAAAGGAGAGATTTGAAGAAGAAAAAAAATCCTTAAAAAGAGATTAGAACTAACTTTTAGGGAGAACACCTCCTGTGGTATTTTTTGATGCATGCTTACCTAGACTTTATAGATAAGTCCTTACAGTTTCTTTCCAGAGCTAAGGGGGTTCAGACATTTTCAAAAGGTGCAAATAGCTGTTCAGGCACCCAATTTATATAATCTTTCATGGTGAGTTAGCACTTACCAGCCTTTGAAAACATCCCCCAAGTTTCTTTTCATACAAAGAAAACATGGACCTTGCTTTTCACATAAACAGTGCACTCCCCTAGTATTATGAAAAATTGTTTTATGTTCACTCACTTTTATTATAATTCTTACCCTTTATATTTATTTGCACAAGTAAAATTTAAGGAAAACATTCTGAAACTCCATCCATATTTTTGCTTATAGAACACACTGTGAGTGCACATAGTATTCCTCAGACAAATCAGACACTACCCCTGTCCTGAGAAACTCGCATTTGAGCACACTTCTTATAATGAATATGTGTCTTTTGTTATCAGGCTCCCCCAAAGTTACAGCCCCTTGGTTGCTGAATTTTTGTTTATGCTGAAATCTTGTACCCTGAACTCCTGACATCACCAAAGCAAGAGTCTGTCCACGTGGCAAAAGGTAAATTGAGTGAATTATTAACAATTCTTTTTGTGTGTGAACTGAAGTGCTAGAATCCCAGGGGGAGGATTATTTATATTTGTTTACGTTGGCCCGGAAAATGTAGTAGGCTCTTTTCAGAAAGACACAAAAGGATGCTCCTTGCTCCACAGTGCTCTGTATCTAAGATCTTAGACAGAGATGAAGGTTTTAAGGGAAGAGGAACAATTCATGGGAAACTTTTATGTAGATCAAAGACTGATGCTCAGTTTTTCCAAAGAACAGACGCAGTGTGAACAGTGGTAGTGAAAGCTACCTAGATACTTATGCCCTTATCACCATAATATGAATGCCTCAAGTAATTAAAAATAAACGTCTTCTTCATCACACAGAGTAGTTGAATTTTGTTAAATGACAGTGACTTTGATTAAGTGTGTTAAGAACTATTGTGGGGAAGAAGAAATGGATTTTCCATTTGTTTTTGAATGCTGTTAAAGTGTGTGGTCTTTCTTATCCCTTCTAGGAGTGAGTTCTATTGGTACAGTTCCCATGAAAGTTCTCCCCCCTGTATTCACAAACTTCTCCCAGTTGGCCAAGTTTCACTTGTTTCAGGGCTTGTGTATATGGGGATACTCAGGAAAGTTAAGACAAATTAACTAAGGTGTTAAGATCATACATATTCATTACAGCACGTTAAATCACCATATGGACGCTCTCATTTGAAATGAAGTGGCCATCATTGAATTTAGCATAGCTATTCTAGGCTGTCAGAGGGAAGGGAAAGAAAGGTGATCTTTTGGGTAACTTTGTTCTAATATTCAAAGCCCACAATGGGATTGACCCAAGACTTTGATTTGGACTTTGCATTCAACACAGCCAGTACATAAGAGAGGAGTGCAACATTGAGGAATACAAAGAGAGGAGTGTAGGCAGATAGATTGCCTATTGAGTTTTGCCATAAATAGCATTCTTTCTGCATATGTGCTTTCATTTCTAGATATGAATTGCAGTAATGAAGCCAGAAGGTTGCAAGTGTATGCATTGCTATTGCTGGAAGCATACGTGATAGGAGGGGACACAGTCTTTTGGCCAGTAGTGGATGATCTTGAAATATCAGACAAGCTGTATACTGAGATACATCAGAGATGGATTTACAACCTTAAATTTACTGCCATAAGAATTAATCTTGGCCACTTAATATTTTAACCTATTTGTGTATAAATGTAAATGGTTGTACTCATTGCTATAGTACCTCAATTGTCATGGCTTCTGGTTGCAAGCATTCTTACCTAGCACCCCCTGCAAGCTATCTGCCATCCAGCTTGGAAATTACCTAATTCCAACCTCTTCCAGGGTAACAAAATATCAAAGTGTAGTCCAAAGTCCCAAAGAATCAGCCTAGCTTCTGGGCCCTGTTCTCAAGCCCTTCCTGGGATTTCATTGGAGTCCTTTTCTCCACTTTGGTATTGAGTACTGTCCCTATTCAGCCTAAGTCTTTGGGAGGCCTCTAGCTTCTAACAGTCTTAAGCCAGAGAGCAGATTTGTGTGATAGGCCTACTTTCCCCAGACTGAACTCTTAGCCCATTTATGAGGCCTTAGTGCTGGGGTAGGCAACCTATGGCACACGTGCCAAAGGCGGCACGCGAGCTGATTTTCAGTGGCACTCACACTGTCCGGGTCCTGGCCAGTCCGGGGGGCTCTGCATTTTAATTTAATTTTAAATGAAGCTTCTTAAACATTTCAAAAACTTTATTTACTTTACATACAACAGTTTAGTTATATATGATAGACTTATAGAAAGAGACCTTCTAAAAACATTAACATGTATTACTGGCACGTGAAACCTTAAATTAGAGTGAATAAATGAAGACTCGGCACACCACTTCTGAAAGGTTGCTGACCCCTGCCTTAGTGTCTGGGTGATTACCAGATCCTTCTTAGTCCCACCCTCTCTGGCTGAAAAGTAACTCATTACTACACAGGTGAACTGAAGGTGTCTGACTTTCCCTTTAATCATTTCTAGCCTATGATGAAGTGTCACCCCATCACAATAAATGTCATTCACCTCCTGACAAGTATGGGGGTACTCTTTGATTTTAATACTGTATCTGTATTTGTCATTAGCATGGTGTGTTTGTCCCGTAATTGGGAGTGGATATTTCAGCCTAGAAGTTTGTCTGGATAGCAGAGCCTACCTGCCTAGAGAAACAAAGAGGAAAAGCCCTTTCTAATAGTCATCTAACAAATTACACATAAGGGTTGTTAAGTGACAGTTGCAAAGAGAATAGCCTTAATGGCTCTAGCCTGCTCTTATGGGGAGCACCCAACCCAGTTTGAACAGGGTGAGTCAGATAGAGTGACCAGATGTCCCAATTTTATAGGGACAGTCCCAATTTTGGGGTCTTTTTCTTATATAGGCTCCTATTACCCCCCACCCCCGTCCGGATTTTTCACATTTGCTGTCTGGTCACCTTATCAGACAGAGACCTACAGACCAGCAAGATTTGAGTTGGCTATGAAACTGTAAATTGGTTCAGTTCCATTCCTGTGACGTAAGAGGAAAGCCTACCTAGCAGCTTGTAGTGAAGCATAAAATTAGATTAAAAGTGTATAGGCTACTTGTTGTTTTTTTAAATCTGTTCTCGGATGCTTTGTTCTAACTGCTAAATAAAAATACTGTGTTTTATGAAGGTTGCTGGTCAATATCACTGGTCACAGGTTTCTAAAGAGAGAGCCTGCAGGTCAAGTGATTGGTATACAGAGAGAACGTACCTGGGTCCTGCTCTAAGAATCACAAGATGTCTGACACAGGTAACAACAAGAGGCCAAACACCTGAATTGGGTGCACTCAGGGACCGGAAAGGCATAGAGGTGCAGGTAGCCCCATAACTACTGAAATGTAAGAATAATGATTTATTTTCCTAATATTTACAATAAAACAAGTAGTTCACTGTTACTAGACGAATATCTTATTTATGTCTGGAATAAAAACCAGATGAAAAAACACCCTACATTTTACATACCTCATCCTCTAGCTTGTTTTATGCTCTGACAGGAACACCACTGACTTTGCAAAAGTGATTTATTAAGCTTCACGATCTATCAAGAGACGTGAATATTGATGTGTTCACATTAACATCCTGTGTAACAGCTGAATACTAGATCTGTCATGATACAATGAAAATCATATGTTGCAGTTCAACAAATGACAGAAGGCTTAATTAAAGCAAAATTGACAAGGTATCAGAGGGTTTTAAGACAAAACAGCTTTATTTTACAAAAGGGAAAGCGTGAAGAAAGGACTGCTTGGCAGAGAAAACATGCATGGAAAGGAGGGGAATATTAAAAACAACTTATTGAAAGGCAAAACTAGTATGTAGAAGTGTGAACTTGCACTACTTGATAAAAATAATTGTAGTTTACTTTTATCTAGAAATGTACAAAGCCTTCAAAAGTACAGCTATTCCAGTATTTAGCTATATTAATGGTTTAAAAGATGGCTAAATCCAGTTATTTTAGTTGCAAGTTTTAAGTGAAGATACCAATTGTAAAGTTCTTTTTAGAGTATTTAAACAGAAGAATTTTACCAGGCAGTACATCGTTAGACTGAAACAGACAGATGTTAAATGCCATCACAATTAAAACTGATTGGTAGAGTTTTAATTCTAACTGGCACTTTTGTTTTCCTAGAACAAATGCAGTCTGCAAGCTAATGGGTGTTTTGTTAGCTATTCAGATCCTTTCCTTGCTTCAAACCAAAATACTACAGAGAAAACACTTTGTTAGAGCTCAGTTTAACAATAATTGGCCTCCTTGGCCAGTAGCTTGGGGGAGGCTCTTCTGGACTTTGCATAGATGCCAGTTTTGATCCATAGGGGAACTTGTAAACTTTCCATACTTTTTGCTGGCTATATCCTGCTTCTAATGCAGGAGATTGACTTTGTCCCATCCACTTAATTGACATCAAGGGGGATGCTCAGAAAATCCCCCAAATGTCTTAATGTAGATGATGTGTTCTTCCCTGATTAATCTGTCTCGGACATCAGCCAGACACAGAAAGATCTGCCAAACAATTCATATCTTCTTCTAATATTGATGAGTTATAGAGAGACATACGCGCATCTCTCTTTGGCTGACCTCCAGAAAGGTGCAGTGATGTGAATTAATTTGGGAGTTAGCTAGATGGCGTTACAGCTTACATATATGTTGCTACATTGATGTGACTTTTTGGAGTCCAAGTCTGTTTGTTGGTTAGATGTTTCTGGAATTAGATGTAAATTGTGTGGGCTTGTCTAAACTGCATTATATAGCAAAATGGAAGTAGTTATTTCGGGACTAGGCTGGGCCAAAACAACAAGTTGTTAATGTTTTTGGAGAAAAGGCTGAAGAAGAAGCATCACTGAAACCAAGTTTCTAACGGATTGGGAAATATTCTCATCTCCCCTTCAAATGTAGATGATTTTTTTAAAAATAGGTCAGTTTTAAAGAGTGGCTGAGGAACACAACCACAATTACATAATGTAATTTATTCTTTGTCTTTTAAAATCGATCACACATCTACAGATGGATATGTAAGATCTGAAAATAAGGATTTCAGAGTTGTGGATCAAAAGATAAAAGAGCTCATTTATGTCAAGTCTCCACTTCCCAGGCATTTCTTTGGCTTTCTACCATGTAAGCGTTATTGGAATTTGTAAATGGGTGTTATGGATAAAATGTAATGAATAGGCCTGAGTTCTGTCATATGAAACAAAAATGAAGATGCTGGATTACACTTACAAGTTAGCAACAAAAATACTGCAAGCCAGAAGGAGCATGAGTCTTATGTAAAATAAGTACTAAAGGAGATAAGCCTTTTTGTTTTTAATTATGTAGTCTGGCACTGGCAAATCATTTTTCTAAGAACGTATACATAATAGTCTGTTTTATTTGCTGGTGTTTATGACAGAGTACAAAAGCAAAATCATAGCTTAACATGACTGATTACTTTAAAAGAAAGAAGCTGGAACCTCTTTAGAGAATTAATCCAAAAATTCCAACAAGCATAATTATCTCTACACTATAACCTGATGTATGTGATGGCAAGCATGAAAAGAACAAACGAACAATATTGGTGCTTTGTTCACAACGTAGGTAAAACCATCACGATGAGCAGTGACAGATTATGTACAAGGAATCTTGCAAAAGACTGTACAAGAAGTTTAGATATTATTAGCTGCCTTTTTATTCAGAATCACGATTTTGGTACTGTATATATTTAAGATGTTCTTTTTCTGAGTGGGTGTGGTTATTCCTGTCTTGGAGAACTCAGTGACATCCTACATGTTACTTTATTTAATTCTTTCTGAATTAGCAGTTGTGTCCTATTTGGTTTGTCAGATTAGGCCAAGAAATATTCAGTATTTTGCAAGAGCTATCGCTTGGGTCTAAAATCAGTTATTCATGTTAATTTGTGTTTGAATATTTTTAAAATATGCTTTATATGACCAAGACAACAATGGCAAATGAAATGAATTAACTTCAGCAGTAAAAATGGGTTGAATTTGACCAAAATTGTTTGCTGGCCCTTAGGCCATTGCAAGACCAAAATATAATTTTTGAACTTTTGGGGATACTACTGCCCTTTAACACTCCTGACATTGTAAGAAAGAACTAAACATAAAATAATTTAACATCCCTTTCCCCAACCAAAACACCAACCTCTTCCCTTGCTACTTGGACTAGAAGACCTCCAGAAGCAGCATACTCCTTTTCTGGGGTAGAGAAAGCATCTTGTGTCACTGCAACAACCCTGCTCTATGGTCAGAGAGCACCACTGATGGTCCTCAGAAGAATCATGTTTAACCCCTTTCAGCCAAAGGAAGGTAACTAAAATATCAGGCCTTGAAAGAGGGAATGCACTAGGCAAGGGAGTTCCTCTGTAGAAAACGTTCCCTTTAAAAAAAGGCTATTTTTATTAGTGTTGGTTCTTAAAGTGATGGATCTGGGCTTCCTCATCCTGAATTTTAATCTTATTTGACAGGAATTTTATTTGTGTATATGTGATTTTATGCTGTAATCGATGGTTTGAACTTGCTGTTTAGTTACATTGAAAGAGATAATATATAGAATTCAGAGCTCCAGTTGGAAAACCACACCCCAAAGACATTTGCCTTCAAATCTTCTCTGTTTTTAGGTACAGTTGTCAAATTATGAATGGAGGGGAAGGGACGGTGGCAATTTGCTCATCTTTTCACTTACAAAGGCTGCAGTTGGCTCAAAGATTCTTTCATGTGTCCACAGGCCCCACTTTCAGAATTGCAATGAGATCTTCATTTGGAGCTTTTGAAAATAAAATACATATATTTTCTTTGACTTTTTTTGTGTTTTGAGAACACTAAGGGATATTGGGAGACAAACTAAGATCCTTGACATTACTCTTAATGATTTGCCTATCAACTATAATATAATAAATCAGCATATTTCATTGCTTCTTTAGGCCAAGCTCTTTGTACACACGGAGGCTCCTTGCAGCCCTCCATGCTCCCTGTGTGCTACTCTCCCATCCCCTTCTAGTTCTGGAACCTTCCCCTCTTCCTCTTGCCAGGAGCTCTATACCTACCCACTTCCCCCATCCTTATTACGTTGATTCTCCCAATTTCCCTCTTCTGATTTTCCCTAAAATCAGTAGGGTTCTGTCCATTGAGGCCTAGAACATTCCTGGAAATTTGGAATTGATCAG